AAATACCATGCAATTCAGCTGAACCCTGTAGGCCTTTATTTTATTAGTGCTAAATGATCAAATAATCCTTTGAGAGAACTCTCCCTGGAACCACTGTGCGATTCGTCTACAAGTTAGAGGAAACGCTTGGATCTAAGCTTTGTTGTTCTATTTCAGGCATATTCAGAAGTGCCCGTGGTAGCCACCCTCTGAACACCCTAATTTCAGTCCAGTGTTCCATCTTTTGAGTGTTCATGGACTTGCAGTTGCTGCTGGTTACCCAGAGTGCCGTGATAAATGCCCTGCTGTCCATGTGTTGAACCTGGCTACCTCCTGACTGTTGAGTATTTCATTGCATATTGGAAATCCGAACCATCTACTCTTCTAAATATAAGAGCTTATTCTCTTTTGAGCAGCACAGGAGGCTTGGAGAACACCTCCCTGATGTCAGGGCGCCTCTGACCTCTGAAATGCAAGGACACAAACCTGATTGTCAAAGCTTGCTGTGGTATCCATCTGAACTGTAGCATAGGCCCATCCTGTCGCTGTAATCACAACTCCCTAAGACACCAGTAGTCCTATGTTGTACTGTGTATTCATAAGCAGAAAGAAAACTTTTTTTAGCAATGCCAGAGCTTAGTTCTGAAGATACTGAGAATAACTGTGAATATTCCCTTATTTTCTTTACTTGCTCTTATCTGGAAAGGAGGGGAAGAAATGCAGCTTGTTATTGCAGTGACTGAGGGAGAAACTGAGAGGAAGGAGAAGCTGGCATGAAAGTTTTTGCAGGAGCACAGTCCAAGATCACACACCACTGAAATTGTCATTGGCCATGGCATAGATTTTAAAATACTTGAATTAAAAAGGGAATGAGGGGAAAATAGCAAATGAAATCCATCTGTCTGAGAATATACCATCAATCAGCTCACAAAGAGTTTCTCTATATGTGTTGCCCTTGGACGCTCATATAGAGAAGGGCCACATCTACTTATCAAAGAAAAGTTGTGGCACTGAATATGTATGGCATATGCATGCCTTTTATGCGGTGTCTTTTCATGCAAGTGTGTTTCTGATATACATACTTTACAGGAACATTTACCGTACCATACATCTGAAGAGCTATCCTTCTCTAGAGTCCAGATTGTTTTATTACCAGCTAAATGTTCTTTAAGCTACCTGTGAATGAGGGCATTGTGACATTTAGCAACTGGTTTGATTGAACACAGATGTGAACCATATTCCATACAGAGAAGATCCAAAGGGAGAGATCCTAGGCTTGTTTCTGATTTGCAAGTAGGAGTTTGAATACAATTACTTGACATTGAGCTACCAAGATAGATGAAAACAAATCACTTGCATGTCTATAGTATTGCAAATGTAAAATCCGCTGCAGTTTGAGATAGTGCACTGTCTTCAGAGGTCAGGGAAAAAAGCCAATATATGTGAAAGCAAAAGTCCTGTGGAAATGGGCAGTATTGGCTCAGAAATGGGAGGCGGCAAGGCATTTGTTTGCATTGCTTACCAAGAGGCTTCCTAGGCATGCCCTGTCCCACATAAGCACTGCTTTCTAATGTAATTCCAATCTTTCTATGAATATTACAAGAAGTGCCATTACCTGGGAAAGCATTCGAAAAAAATGGTTACATGGGGAATAGGGCTAAATTGGTAATGCCAGTATGCAAGGTCGGTTGATAATTTTCCAGCATTTCCTGAGTGTAAAATTTACTGATGCAAAACTGAAATTGCATGTGGCAGAATTTATTTTATTATGGAAACGTTTATTTCTATTCAACAACTCAGGGAGGAAAGGCAAATATTTAGGGCTAGTTCTGATGTGATCTGAGGTGCTGAATCCTACAAGGCTGCTCACAGAAACCCTAACTAGTAGGCCTCATTCTCTGCTCATGAAGAGAGAGGGTTTATCCTTGTCTTCATTGCCTGTCGTGCTTGTTTATTTTCCTTCCATTTGAGCTGATTGTGCATCATTGAAAAAGTGGTCTCTCCAGTATAACCTGTGGAGTGGAGCAGGGCCCGAGCTGCGGTAGTCCCCAGGAACCAACTGTAGTCCCTAAGACAAAGGTTGATGCTGAAGCAAAATATTTCTGAACCTGAATCTTCAAGAACTTTCTCTTCTATGCAGATAACTGATTTTTTTTTTATTATTATTATTATTCTCCCAGCTTTTCATCCTTGTTCAGCTGGGGAGAAATTCCAAATTTTTACTTGCTTTGGTTGTTTGGTTGTCTCAAGTGTCCTTACCTGTAACTATTCTGCTGTAACAATACTGTGCTGCAGAGAGATCCTGAGCTTAGCAGCTCTCAGTGTATACTGGGGTGGGGGGAGGTGGGTTGCATTCTCTGAATGCAGTGCTGTAGGGGCAGAAAAAGGGTTATGTTTGATCTCAATTTAGACAAACTGTGTTCAAATGATACTCCTACTTGGTCAGGATACAATGACAGGGGCCAGAATAAGTGAAAAACCTTAGTTGCCAAAATCTGTTCCCAGGCCTGTTGAACTTCAGATTATAGGAAATACCAGTCCTAAGTACTTTCACAAGTATTTAAATATGCAGGTAAAAAATTGGGAAGTTTAGTTTCTGTCACTGCACCGCAGTCCTTCCTTTTGCAAATCCCTTGGGCAGAGGAAGCAAGACTGCAGCAGCCTGTAGGGACCCCTGAACCTGGACCTGGGGTAGCTCAGCTAAAATGGTAAAAATATATTCTACAAAACCACAGTGTTAAATCCACCACATAGGGTTTAGTCCCAATGTACTGCAGGAAGCTATGGAGCACGGGTCATTCCCCATCCTCCCACCCCTATGTTCCTACCCTCTTCTCCCTGCTCACGTACCCGCCCTGTGCGTGCATGGACACACTTGCTTTGTACCGCTGGTGCAAAGTTGAGAGTAAGTTCATTCCAATTGTGCAGATCTCTCCTTCTTTTTATAATTCTCTCTGTTTGGAAACCAGGAAGCTATGGTATCATGTGCAGGTAGCACAGCAATAAACATGTTCTCATCACAATTTACACATAAAGTGTGAGTCCCTCGAGGTAACTCATCCCCCTCTTGACAGCTTTAATAAAGGATGATGGATTGTTTCTAAATGACAGTTTAGGAAGATCAAAAATTCCCCCCTGTATTGTTTTGAGCTCTGGTGTACAAGAGCTGTTTTGTGTTCTGTGAAAGTTGTTTTTGCCTGTAAGCGCTGGGGCTCTATTACTCCCCTTCACAGTGGTGAGAAATGCTTAGCTACCACAGGAATATATTCATCCTGCTGCATACTCATGACTTTTTTAAAAACTCTGCAGAAAAGCAAAACCTAGCGTGGGTGGGAGGTGGGGAAGTGCCAATACTTGAATGCATTGCTGTCTTTGGGATGCTGCTCTGGGCAGTCTCCCCATATGGCTTGCAGGGGGAGAGAAGGGTTTGGACACTGATCCGCCCAGAGTTGCCTCCGAGGGGCGAATGCCAGGAGGAGGCATCACCTGCACCGGCCCAGCTCCCTAGTCAGCGTGCGCAGGGGACTTGGGAGACCCGGGCCTCCAAGCACCTGCAGTCACCTGCACCCACTTTTCCCTCGCTCTGCCCTTTTCTTTTTAAAGACTACATGTGGCAGCAAATTAGTTCTGCAGGGCAGAGCCCTCCCTCTTGTTTCTTTTTGGCTTGAGATTTATTTCTCAGTGCGTGTGCTTTGTAGCTGCACTTGGCAGAGTGGAGTTTGTTCAGCTGTCCATTCCCTAGCTAATCTGGCATCTTAAAATAAAAACAAGCAAGTGGATCTCTGGAGAAAAGTTGCCATATGAAGGCATGCAGAGAGTCATATGGTTAAAACAGCACTGCTCAAAGTCATTCACACAGTAAGAAACCAGATAAGAAAAAAAAAGCTGAGTGCCTGAATAGGGCTCGGTCTGATGGTACATGGAGGTGACAAAAGGAAGCCAGAAGGAGCTCGCTGTGGCCATGCAGCACCAAAATCATACCTCTGTCACTGTGGAAGTAGTGGGTCTGGGTGCTCTTTAGAGCCTGTCACCTTCCATTAGGATGGAACATGGCATAGTCCAGCTGTTGCCTCTTGTATATGAACAGCCAGCCCTTGGAGCAAGCACTGTTGCAAAACACTGGAAGAAGACTTTTGGTGTAGATTCTACTCAGACTGCACAGACTCAAGAGGAAGTTCTCCACCCATGTGCAATGGAAAATTCTGAAATGAAAGACAGCATAGACTGACGTTAAATCAATGCTAGAACTTGCCAGGGGTGCAAGATCCAGGGGATGGGAAGCTTGCAGCTCTCCTACGACTTCCCTGTCGGGAGGCAAAGGAGGTCTGTCCCTGTAGATCTTTTCTGAACCTTTACTTCTCCATTCATAAAATTTTTGCGGTAATGCTTCCTCCAGCTAAGGAGGCCTGGCTGGACATCAGCTGATTCATTTGGGACAGAACCACATAAACTCACCTGTCCATCCTTTCTCTTCCTAATATCCCAGGATGAAGCGATGTTATTTCTCCCTGCTGTTCCAGAAATCTCAGCCATATTGTTTTTACATTTGGAATATCGACACCAGGGAACAAATTTTCAGTCTCTTCTAAAAATTCCCAGATACCTGGTCCGTAAGGATGGATTCCAGGACATACCTGTGCATGAAACAGTGTGTGTTTGGTTGTATACAGTCTGAGGAGTTTTCCTGCAGAAGATGATGATAAAAAATACTCTTCTGTTATTTATTGGAAAAAAAAGTAACTGAATTTTAAATTTGGGTTGAATCCTTGTTTTCCAGCTTTGTTTCCCAGCTTCACAAGCGTTTGTTTTAGTGTATGTAATTTGAAAGTCTTCAAAAGCCTTTCAGTAAGCAGGCCCTAGTAATAGTCCTAAATCTTTATACCCTTAACAGGTCAAGATTTGTGATACACTTTTTTTCTAGTGAGCAGGTACTTTACTTCCTTTTGGAAATTATTTGTATTAATATATCCTGTTACTTTGATTACTGGTGTGTTTTATGACTCTGATATTCTTTCCTTTAGGCACAACAGGGATTTACCAAGGAGCAAATGGCCTGCCAAATTCTGCAGGATTCAGTGCTGTGCATCAGGTACGGTTCAGCGTTTATTATTGGTAACCTTGTCACTTTAAACACTCAGGAGGTTGGTAGATCAGAGGGATTATTCTGGTGTTTACATATGTTTATGGAAGGTACTGCCATATGTTTTACTGAACACCATTTTGCTCTACTCCTGTAGCCTGTCCGTTTGCTGGGCTTCTAGGTATCTTGATTAATTCTAAGGTGTGTGTATCGATACGCAGGCTTGCACAGAGCGCAGTCCCTGCAGGAGGAGGATGCCCTGGCAGTCTCTCCCGTGCTGCTGTAGCAGTGCCAAGAGTTTCATCATTCCTCTGCCATCTTACAACTTTCAGATGTTTTCCGTCCTCTACAGAGAGCTCTGCTTCTAGGATCCTGTCGTCCGCTGTTTTGGCACTGTGTAATAAATATGAACGATTTGGAAGAGGCGTTGGCAGGCCCTGATGCATATTGAGCCATCTGAGCTGTCTGTGCACTTCCTTCTTTGAGAATAACACCTGTCTGTGGGCTTCGTGCTTCAGATACCTTGATAAATGTGTGTGTATAAATAAACAGTGTGCATATATACACGACAGATGTTTTTCAGTAGCAAATGGCTCTTCTTGATGTACACTGTACACTGTCCCAGAAAGTGTGTTTTGGTTGGCAATGATTTCAATTCCTTGTTTGTAAGGCGACTGCTGACTTGTATTTTTAGTGACAACAGCGGACAATTTCTTTATTACTTCAGTTTTGGCTAAAAACATGGTCAGTAAATGCTGATAGAAGTGCATTTGATTGAAATATGGAGGTTACCTAAAAAGGGGAAAAATAATTGGGCTGTTTTCATTATTTTGTGGTATTCTTCAAGAGAAAACAATGAAATTCCCTCATTTCTTTTCAGTTTAATTCTTATGACAACTTGAGTCTTTGTTCTTGAGTGTTCCCTGGTGACATAAAGTTAATGAAATAGCTGTGTCACAGACAAAGATGTGAGCAGTTAAGGAGGAAAGTGCTTTTAGTCTTTCTAAAGACTATTTATTAAATAATTTTATTTAATACCAGAGACTAATTAGCATTTCTGAGGAAATAAAAGCCTTTTGCTGAAAGACAATCCCCAGAGCGTGAATACAGTTCTCTATCTGAAAAAGTAAATAGGTGGACAAGAGCAGGAGTTGCAATTAAAACAAAAAGAAACAGATTAAACCTTTTGTGGTTTAATTGTCCAGAGAGGAGTTTTCTAGTCTAGTCCAGTGTCCTGCTTCTCATAAAAAAAAAAAGAACATATGGGGATAATGGTATGAAGCTTGTTTAGGAGCCTTAAAATCAAGACAAAGGGTTTCATGATACCTCAGCTCCCAAGGTCACTTGCATCTCCTATTTTTAGTTCATTTTTCTGTAGGTATGGAATATCACTCAGGTGTTTAATTCTTGCTGAGATGGTTGGGTAATCTCAACTTTGAACATTTCTGCAAAACAATTGTTACTTTTTTTTTTTTCTTCATTTTTGTAACCTATTCAAACAGCTGATCAGAAAATGTTGCCGATCATGGGAAAATGCAGCCTGTTATGCTCCTTCCCTCACCCAATTATTCATTCTGTTCTAATTTCTTGGGTATTTTTTTGTTTACAGAGACTATGTGTTCCATCACAGTCCTTTTTGAAAAGCCGCCCTACTTCACTCCTATATAACATTTTTGACCCTGTAATAAAAAACTATGTCAGCACTGATAACTAAAATCCTATAGAAAAAGCAGAATTCACCTGATTTCTGAACTCTCATTGATTAGTTGATTCTAATAAAACAAGATTATATTTGGGAGAAGCAGAAATGTAATTTCATAAGTGAATGAAATGTGATTCTTTAGTGAAATGTTCCTGAGCCACGACTTGCTGCATGTGTAGGTAACACTGCTTTTGTGGTGCCTTACTCATTTATAAGATAAAACCAGATGCACAGAAGTTAGATAACAGTTTCTTTTTTCCTCAAAGGAATATTCATCATATCCAAGCTTTCCTCAAAGCCAATACTCACAGTATTACAGCTCCTCCTACAACTCTCCATATGTGTCTGCAAACAGCATCAGCCCCTCGGCCATCCCAGCCTCCACGTACTCGCTGCAGGAGTCCTCTCACAACGTCACCAGTCAGAGCACAGAATCACTGTCTGGTAGGTGCATCTCTTCTGCTTTCAGTCTGGCAGGCTCAGCCACCTGTAGGCATAAGTGCTATAACCTTGTTGTTGGACTTTTTAAAAATACATATATTTACCTGAATAAATCAGATTTCCTAGCACTTAACAGTTCTGCTTACACAGAGCAACACAGGGTTTGGGGAAGAAATTAGAACATCCAAGCTCTCTAAAACTATCCTGTGTCATTTTCATGGGTATGCAAGGTTTGATCTCCTTTAAAGGTAGTACAGAAAGAGAAAACAATTACAAAACGTAGATCAGTACTGAGGGCTAACATGGGTAGCAGTGAGTTCAAAACAAACAGCCATGCTCTGAAAAAGCCCCAGAGGATCATGACTTTTAGCCCGTGTCTCTGTCAAGGTTTATATTCGCCTCTTACTACAACATGTCATACATGCATTCATAAATAAGTACATCAAGAGAAAGCACCTCCTTAAAAAAACAGCACAAACTGTTTGTCTAAGTAGAAAGTTCAAGCAAAAGGGCTTCAAAATTTGTGGTCTCTCATTGAGTCCTTAATTTTTGAAGTCTCAAAGCTTAAATGGTTTATGGAATTACTGACGGATTATGATCCTCCAATGCACTGTTCAACTGCAATCTGCAGATATCACTTCCCCACTGAAGTTTTCATTGGCATGCAATAACATTTATATAAAACGACACGTAACTTGTGGATGATCACAGTATACGCCCATTGTAGGTCTGCTGACTTGTGAAACAAATCAGAACATCTGTGGTTGCTCTAAAAGAAAAATAAACTAATATTGGTTTTTGAAAAGAAGTGATCACAGATTGCTCTAAAAGCAGTTGGAGGATTTTCTGTTCCTTAGATCTTATCTCAGCCTTTTTGAGAAAGGGTGATTTCAAAAAGGCTTGTGAGGCACAATCCAAGCTTCTCTGAAGAAGAATATGGTTATTCTAGGAAGCTGGAGAGGCCACAACTTAGCAAGGTGGAAAGAAAAATATGTTTGAAAAGGATTTGTTATGTAAGGTAAGTGAAATCCAGACAGGTTTGTGAAACTCAAGCCAATCAAAACAAATACTACAGATACTTTATATGAGGGAAATTCACCTTTGACTGTCTCCTCTCAGTTTTTTCTAAAATACTATCCTCTGTGAAATGGAATATGGCTAAACAGGCTAGTTCTATATTTTTAAATAAAAGTTGATGTTGAAAGTATATTTTTAATCATGAACATTCATCAAATTAAAAAAAAAATTTTTTTCAGAACTTGATTTGGTCTTGGTTTCCTTTTCCATTGCCTTTCTAATTTCTCTTTTGAAAAGCAGGGGGGCAGGAAAATTAAAAATCTATTTTTTTCAAATGAAAAATGTGATAAGGTTTTTGAAGTGACATGTCCATTTTAAAATGTTATATACACAGTCTTGGTGATCTTTGAAATTGTTTTAACAAATCTTAGGAGTTAAAAATTATTTCTCTAACAAAGTCAGCTTTTGAGATGAAAAGAGTAAGATTTTCTGGTGGTGTTTTCACAATGTTTCTGGTGCTCGTCATTAAAAGGTTTCATGCTTTAATTACAATGCTACAGTGCAAAATTTAAGTTTACAGTGGAATTTCTTGTTTCATAATAGGGGAATATTCAACAACACCAGCAAAAGACATAGAAACAGACAGACATCACAGGGGGTCAGATGGCAAGGTACGAGCCCGGTCAAAAAGAAGCAACGATCCTTCCCCTACTGCTGACAGTGAGATTGAGGTAATAACTTTAATTTATATTCCCATAGTAAATCCAGCAAAGATAAACAGTTGCATCTATTAGCAAATCCCACCATCAGACTACTGAGTTGTAAGAGCCAGAATAAAATCAGTAATATAACTGGAACCTACAGACATCAGTAGTCAAAATAATGGCTCAATTTCTGTATTATCAGTATCTCAAACTGGTCTTCATATGTACTTTTTTTCCCTTTGGGCTTTTTATAAGCCCGCTGCTTTGTTCCCCTGACTTGACATGCAGCAGGGGATTTCTGTGGGTGTTAGGAGCACAGACTCTCAGGACGACCAGCACACACCTAGTTCCAAAATTCCTGATGTTCTATTTTGCCTGCTTTCACAAAGCACCTACAGTCAGTGCTCCAAATGCGTTTGAGATCTTTAAAAGCTCTGGTCCAACAGGACGTATTTCCTGACTGAACAAATTTTTGCAATTGCTTAATATGTAACTATATTTCTTTTTTCCACCCCGTCTGTCATCACAGCGTGTGTTTGTGTGGGATTTGGATGAGACGATAATTATTTTTCACTCCTTACTCACGGGAACCTTTGCATCCAGATATGGGAAGGTAAAATTTAATTTTTTTAGCATTACTGCTTGTCCAGCCAAATTGCATTGGGAACTGTGGGGGCAGCTAATGAGGCAGCTTTTCAAACAGATGCTGCCGATTTTATTCAGACACATTTGTATAAATATGTCCTGTGGTATTTCCTTCTAACATGTGAAAATTTAATTTACCTCCCTTTTGTGTTGCAAGTAGCCCCTTGTTTTTCAAAAGCTTGTATTGTTCAGCTGCTGCTAGGGGGACATCGGGATGTTCTTTCGATGTCTGTCTTCTACAGGAAAGAGTCTATCAAGCAGCCAGACAGCATTAATTCTAGCCTGAATGAGGTAACACATTTTTTTGTTAGACCAGTGTTTTCTTACGAATCTCAGACAACTTTTTAAGAGAGATTTTGTGTTGGTCAGTCTAGGTTGCCATGAAAAATACTGGCTCTGCTTCCCACATGGCTGCTGAAGCTCACATTTTTAAGGGGTTTTAGGAACCATATCTTTAGCCATCCGTACTTCAGATACTCCCGAGTATCTAATTGCAGGCAATTAGAAATTACAAGCAATTCCATTTTTTTAAGTAACTCGCTCTGTGGCTGAACGGACTGAACTAAAGAGAAACGCTGGCTCTTGTATTTCGTACCATGTGCTTCAATTTCTTCCTAAGGCGGCTTTTTATGATAAACACTTAAGTCACTTTGAATTACAGAATGTCAAACATTTAAAAGTGGGTAGGAAAAAAGACAATATCATTACCTAATTGAAGGTGGATGACCTAGTTGGCAGCTGTTTCCACACATGGCTTTGAACAGTCAGCTTCATTGGGAGACTGGAAAATAACCCTGCTCTCTCTAGAAAGCAGAAATATGATTTGACATCATTTCATGACTTTACCAGCTGTACTTATTTTACGATGGTTATAACAAGCTGAATGTGTAATTAGTAAGATAGATTTATTGTTCGCTGTTAGATGTGCAGTTGTAAAGGATATAAAATGGTGTTTGTGGTGTGGAAGTCTACTGCAGCACTTGGAATGCTGCTAGCACTTCTAACAGCACCCTCTGAAAACCAAGCACATGTTTCCAAGCAGGGATTTATTCAGACCCATGTTGTACAAGGTAATTGAAGCAGTTACTTTTCCCAGGGAATGTAGTGAACGAGGCAGTCTGAGGTATACATGTGTAAGCTCAAACCTACTGCCTGCAAAAAATAGAAAGAATTAGGCAGGATCAGGAAACATAAACTTACGCTGTGTAGATCTGCTATGTGGTCATGATTAGCATTGGGTCAGGGCTGCAGTATGCATATCGACAGTTCCCTTAATGGGTTGGCTTTCTCCTAGCATAAAACTTCTGAAGCAGATGCCTTCATCTGCTGCCTCCTGCACAAGCTTAGAGGATGTGGGTTTGGCATCTGCTGCATGGGGGCAGATGGAGTGATGGACCCGTGGAGGTGAGAAGCCCTGCCACCGCAGTACCTGTGAGCTCTTGTTGATGGGCTGCCGCCAAGGCAGAAGCTGCCATCTCTAGAGCAGCTGGTGTGGGGATGAAGTGGGGTCAGGGAGTGGAGCCAGACAGGGTTTATCAAAAGCACTCACCAGTGGCCAAGCTCTTCCTGTTGGCCATGAGAGCAGAATTAGGCCAAGACAAGGCACATGTGAGCAGCAGCCTGCAAAAGGGACTAGCAAGAGAGGAAAGCAGGAAAACGGAAACTTGAGGGATTGTCTGCTTTGGAAGGCCTTTAAAGGTACAAAATGACAAATTTTTGTTGGCTGTTTCCTTGATACAAATGTAAAGAATGATACAAACAGAAATATTTTTTTGAATGAATGAATCACCTTTTCTATTAAGTTACAACAGGCTCTTTGAGAAACTTCTCTAGAACAATTTTTTTTTTTAGTTCTTCATTTGTTTCATCGGTATTAAATTCCTCAGGGCTTTCCTATAAGGGAAATGGTTGTGTTATAAAAGTATTATAGGCTAACGGCTTGATCCAAAGACAACCAGAGGCTTTGGTGGGCTTTGGAACAGACCTTAAACCAACAGGGAAATACAGCACACTTAGACAGGCTGTCCTGGGAACCATTAAATAGTAACACAATTCAGAAATGTTTAAGTGAGCTGAACTGTCAAGTATAAGTGAAGCAGTGAGCCAGAGGTTAATAGAGCTTCAGAATCTCTTGCTTGAATAATGTAGGATGTGTTAACCTCAAAGTAAATTAAGGATCAAGGCCTAAAATTCTCTTTTTTGACCATAATTGATCATAAAAGATTCATGTGCCTGTAATTAGACATGTACATGCTTTGTATTAAATCTCACACATGGAGGCCTTGGTTCTGTGTGTCTTCCTGCAGAAAAAGTGTCAGTTTATCTGATCTTCACTGTTCCGCTTACCAACATTAATGTCCCAGTATCTGTTGCACTAGTAGAGCTGCTGTGCAGCCCATCAAAGAATTAGTCTATAAAGTTGATCAAGCTGAAGAATAACACCTCTTTCTGGGGTGATTTTTCTGGGAAGAGGGGAGGAGGAACATCAACTGTAGCTTCAGAGATTTGGGTCTAAACTCCTGTGTTCTTTAGCTACAAAATCTCAAATGGTTCTGTGTGTTGCCCCTTCCTTGGTGATGGCAGCAATAGGGAGCTGTCCAAAAAAATGTGATTTTGAAAAAATAAGAAGAAAAAAGAAAAAAAGAGGGGGAAGAATTCACAACAAGGATTATCACTTGTAGTCGTATTATTAATCATTAATGCTTCAATGTTATGTTTGCTGACCTTATCTCATGTGAAAATTCTCTTTGTTTGGTTTCTGAGGGGAACCTCTGTGGTCCTTGCCATAGGTATCGGCTCCTCAGAGCATGGGCAGTTCATCTCAGGTGTTTAGAAAATAATCTGCTCACAGCATTAATAGAAGTTGAGACACAAAATTTACTTATGGCTGAAGCATGAATTAATAGCCCAGCCGAGGTTGCTCCTTTTTTGTCCCCTCTGCCCAAACTCTTTGCTGCATCCTACGGATTACACAGTCATCAGACAGTTGGTCTTAATGTCTTTCCCATACGGTCCCTGCAGTGTAACCTGCAGTGGCAGTCAGAGTGGCCTGCAAATTCACATCTCCTTTTGCTCTCTTGCCCACGGTTGAGTGGATGCATACCTGCACAAACATACGGAGTCATGGCCTAAGTAATCAGGGCAGCAAAGCTGTCGAACCTGAGGAAATCTGTCCACCCTTTGGTTTCTCAGCAGGAGGCCCTCTGACAAGAAAAGGAAAAAAAAAAAAAATTCCACAGGCAGCTAACCCCAGATACTATGTTCAGGAGGGTTTAGAAACCTGTTTTGCAGGCTTCTATCACTGTACTACGGATTACACAGTCATCAGACAGTTGGTCTTAATGTCTTTCCCATACGGTCCCTGCAGTGTAACCTGCAGTGGCAGTCAGAGTGGCCTGCAAATTCACATCTCCTTTTGCTCTCTTGCCCACGGTTGAGTGGATGCATACCTGCACAAACATACGGAGTCATGGCCTAAGTAATCAGGGCAGCAAAGCTGTCGAACCTGAGGAAATCTGTCCACCCTTTGGTTTCTCAGCAGGAGGCCCTCTGACAAGAAAGGAAAAAAAAAAAAAAATTCCACAGGCAGCTAACCCCAGATACTATGTTCAGGAGGGTTTAGAAACCTGTTTTGCAGGCTTCTGATCACTGTACGGGTACAGAATATTTACCATGTACCTAGAGACCACGACAGATGTAGACCATCATTATAGCTTAATATACTGTCCACACAGCCCTTTTAATCCCTTCAGGCATGTGTAATAGAGCTCCCATTCAACAGGAAGATGGCTGCAGACTTTACTATGTCTGCAAAGATCTGCCCGCCAGATCACTGACTAAACATAATGGGAAAAACGGGTCCAAATCCGTAACAGTGCTGCAGGGGTTTCACATGACTTGGGTAAAAGTCAAGGGGCTTTGGCCATTTATTTGAAGCAGCTAGGTGCAATACAGAAAGACTCTTCTGGTGGTATTAATTCAGACACAATAAAAAGAGATTGCATGCACTCCTGTGCCAAAAGAATAAAAATCATGAGTCTGTTCCCCTTTCCCTGAGACATTTGCAAGTTTGTTCCATAATCTGTCAAAGAATTAAAAATTCTGCATCTCTTTCAGTCCAAGAAATATTGCAGGGTCATTCTCACACTTTTTGAAGGACTAGTATCAAGGGAAAAGGGGGCACTAGGTGTGTTGTTTTCCCTAGCTCAGGGCTATGTGTGAAGCTAATACCTTTTCTCAGTGTTTTATATTGTTCCCAGAATGCGTATTCTTGTTCTGTGTTGATATACTCCGTGGGATTTTAGTGTCAAAATTAATTGTGAGTAGAGTAATATCTGGAGTTAAAATTTATCTTTATTTGCAAGTTACTCTGATATCCTGGAACCAAATGGAAAGGATTTTATTTTAGCACTGACTTAACTGAATACATAGGACAGTTGTCTTGAATCGTGCTGAATCTTTGATGATGTCTGCTGATACCTGGGAATTATGATCTATAAAATGCCCTGTAAGATGCTTAGCAATTTCTGAGATTGTTCAGCATCTTGAATTGACTTGAATTAAGAAAAACATACTGCAAAAAATAATAAAGCCTATTATGTCCCAGTTTTAAATCAGAATCATGCAAAGCCACGTTCTAGATTTTAGTTAACCCTAACTGAAAGGTGTTTAGATTGTCTCTATTACACCGTGTCACCGTGAGCCTGGACTGTATGGTCGCTTTGCATGGAGTGGCCGCTCTGGATAGCCACATTTTTTTTATTCCTTTTGCATTTCAGAAGTGGCAACATGAGATGTATCTGAGTTGTAAGGAGACAGGAATCAGTGCGATAGAGACAGGGCATGCACTCAAGTTCCCAGGCTGCACGAACATGGGCTCTGCCTCTCTGCTGAGGGACTTGCAGTGGCACGGGTATGTGAAGGACGAGGAGAGGGTCCTCCAGCCAGGGCCTCAAGACCTCTGGATGG